TGAATAAATATATTATGGAAAAACAGTAACAGTAGGATTCCAGAGGCATTGCTATGACACACTGAAACTGTTCTCACAGAAGGGGGTGGCCCAACACTTTACTAAGACACGTTCTTGTTGGTTTTTACTTTAATTCATCACCCGTCTGTATATTCATCAGCAAAAAAAAAAAGCTAAGGTTTCTTTTAAAATGCAATGTATTTTCTGATCCTGCAGCCATTCATTAATATATTCAAAGACTTTGCCTGGAAAACACTTGTCTTTGGTTTATGAGGGGTGAGTATTAGTAGAAAAATGTGACGTACAATATAAGGAAGCAATATTTGTTTCCAAAAATCTGATTATGTTTGCTTTATATAGCGTATCTTAGCTATTGCAAGTATTACATTACATTTTGAAAAATATATATGTATGTATCTAGGAAGCTGAACCTCAAATTATTGATGAAATCTGAAATATAATATTTGTCATATACTGCCAATATATTAAACAAACAAAACATATTGTACAGTCTGATCCTAGCATCCCCAAACACCTACAATTAACACAGTTTTAATGAAATGCCCCTTAATGACCGTACTTTACTATTAAAAGCCTTTTTTCAGACTTTCATTGTTCACGCATAATTCACTTGGACATAAATAATGATGAACTACCGAGACTGAAAAATGCATTCAATATAGATTTCACAGGAAAAAAATACTCACTGACCTTGAGAGACAAAAATTGTGGCATTTGGAGTCTGCAATCACGGCACAGACGCAGCGAGGCGTCTTAGCCGACTCGCGTTCAGACGGCTGTCCATCAACAGCACGTCTGCTCCGCTGAGGTCCTCTGTAACTCGACATTCCATAGGGCACAGTGCGCCTAAAAGAGGAGTAAAGACAGGGTTTTGATCAGAGTAAAAAGGAAAAAGTGAGAACCTGAAGTGAAAAATTCTTTGTAGTTGACTTTTCGTGCAATAAAGTTACTAAAAGTTTTAATGATCTGCTTACAGGCTTGGGTGATTGTCCAGAAACTCTGCTCTGTTTTAGATTAAATGTTCTGCCTCTAATAAGCTTTACACTTGTGAACGTTTCATTTTAGTTTGGAGACCACTTTGAACTTGTAATGGGGGAAAACAAAGGCAGCCAGAGCTGTCAATGAAAGTGGAAAAACTCCTGAAACATAACTTCCTTACCAATTTTTCAGTCAGTAATGCTCTAGGTGTATTTCTCCCTTAACAGCATTCAGATGACAGTCAGGCTGGTATCACTTCATTTCTCACTTTTTCCACTTATCTGTTTTCATCCATCTGTGATTCATTTGAAATCCACATTGTAGTCTTTTAGACCTATAGAATCTCAAGGGGCAACAAAAGGAAGAGAATCTGCTCTCGGGTATTCCAGTGGGTGTTGTGAGAAGAAGGTGTGGTGAATAGACTATCCTGATCCTTCAAATCCTTTAAAATATCTCAGATTTTTTTTTAAATAAAAGACCCATTGACAGTATGGATAAACGTCTTTCCCTTTCCCAGCCAGGTGCTATCAGACTACCTCTGCATCTATGGGAGAAGCCGACATGCTGCCTGACGCTTCCACTGTGCCTTGTTAGCCTGATCCTTCACTCTGCCAGTTTATGACTGTATTCCTGATTGACTTCAGGGTAAACGGCCTTTTCACCTCATACTTATTTAGTCTGAAGTCTCAGCTTGGTAATTTATCACAATTATCTGGTGGCGACAGAAGCACTTTGAGGAAACTTGCCTTTTTAACAGTTTGCCACAATGAGTAAAAGCATTACAATCCCACTTACGGTCTAGAGGAGAGATCATACATACTGCACACAGTACACTCCTGGAAGTTACCCATAACCACAATTTTGCAAGCGTGAAGAAATGTAAGGATGTTTTCACTAAAGTAGGGAGGCGACGCTTTCTTGTTTTCATTCTACGCTGAATTTTCGTGACGTTTCAGGTGACAGGAACCCGATCTTACCTTGAATTGCAGTTCTCTCCGCAATGTGTGAAAACACGTCAGAAGACATGCTTACCACTTTTATATTAATGTTGTGGGATACAACCATATCCCTTTCTGCTTTTAAACTGTGTCAATTTGTCCCAACATGCAAGGCAGTAAGTTGTTTACCTGAAACAGCCAACAGCGGTCTTGGCATGAGAAGACAGAGAAAGAAGGAATGCTTTCCTGCTGTCATGCCAAGATCTTAATATGTGGTTAGGTGGTTTCACTCCTCAAAACGAAAAATGTTCGAAATTATATTTTAAGGTGTTGCTAATCTGTGGTATGCCTTCCCACATGTAGAATATGCTTTGTGTAAACTCAGATTAAGAAAAACTGCTACCTACTAAAAGGATGTGAACTCCTAATTTTATGGCTCCTCATCACCTGTAGGACCGACATACCTCCTCAGTTAACACCTCCGGCCAGGACGGGCCCCTGACTTTTGATGTTTTGATGATGATTGTATTACAGAACCAAGTTACATGCATCATTATCACTAATAAAACCAGAATTACGTTGCCTCCTTTAGTGTTTGTTGTTAAGCCATAAACCATGAAAGGTTTATGAATCTCGTTTGCTGGTTATTTAAAGTCACTTCTACCAAATCACGTAATTTTGTATTGAATCAGATTAAAGCTAGAACAAATTTAGGATTAATTACACCACAAAAAGCATGATAAAAAACTGTAGCACATTTTAAATAAATTGTAAATAAAGCAGATTAATTCAAAGTTCACCTTAAAGAAAATGAAGACTTTCACTATTCTTGATGCACACCTGAAGACTTTTGACTTTGCACAACAGATTTCTCTCTAATCCGCAGCCATGCAGCCGCACGTCCTCCTCAGTGTAATGGTATTTAAACCTCTTGGGATATCTGACACTCTGTCGGCTCAGAGGGAGATACGGTAGCCGTGTGAAAGTTTTTTAAGTACATTTGGTGTTTGGTTTCTTATCTGTCAAGCAGTACAATCAAGGAAGCGTCTGACGGCTCCCGACTTCATTCTGCACCATGACAACGAGTCCAAATATACATTCAGAGTTACAAAGAACTATCTTTAGCAACAGGAGGTACAAGGAGCCCAACAACAGATGGTGTGGCCCCCGCAGAGCGTTGATCTCAACATCACTGAGTCACTCGGAAATTACATGAAGAGACAGAAGCAACTGAGACAGACAACTTCTCCAGAAGCTCAGAACAACCAAATTACCTTAGAAAATGTTGCACAAGTGTACCTAAGAGAATTATTGTTCTTTTATTTTCTGTTTGCAGCACATTGTATGAAGCACATGGATGGAAATTTTTCACGGCATCAGTTTTGAACTGCTTCTCAAAATATTAGCCATGTGCACAATTTACTGTATGTTTACAAAACAAGCGTATGTTTAAAAAGGATGCTCACTTTTGTGAATATGAACTATGACGTGATTATTTTTGTTTTTTTCGGTATGATATAACAAAAGGACTATGCTACAACAGGCGTCCAGAATGATCGTTAGTAAATGTAGTCACAATCACACCTAAATTTAACAAAATTGTCATTGTCATTAATACCAGTTCCAATACTACAGTGCACTGAAGTTCTGCACGTGGTTTGTCCAAGTGGTGTTGCCGTACACCAGCAGACGTCATACCTTGACTAATGTGAGTCAATGACAAACATTATTCTGTCTCTCTGTAGTACTTCCATTACATTCCAAGATATAATTAAAAGTGGAAAACTAGACTTTAATTTACTTGTTACAGAACTTACATCACTGTCAACTGTAATCCATTCATCCATCCATCCATTATCTATACACCGCTTAATCCTCACTAGGGTCATGGGGGGCTGGAGTCTATCCCAGCTGACTTAGGGTGAAGGCAGGGGACACCCTGGACTGGTCGTCAGTCTATCAAAGGGCTACACGTAGAGACAGACAACCAAGCACACTCACATTCACACCTACGGACAATTTAGAATCACCAATTAACCTCAATTGGTGGGAGGAAGCCAGAGAACCCGGAGAGAACCCACGCTGCACGGGGAGAACATGCAAACTCCACTCAGAAAGACCCCCCACACAGAATGACCCCCACCGGGATGCGAACCAGCCACGTGGTAACAGTGCTACCAACTGCGCCACCTTGCAGCCCCTCAACTCTAATAGCTTCTGTAAAATCATATGAAAACGATCAGTTGATTGGCAGCATACGTTCTGTGCACAAGCTAGTAAACAGAAAATACATCTTCCACTCGCTAGTTGTGCATAAAGTTCGATGTTCCCATCAGTGTTATTGTAAAACTATTCCCATAATTACAGTCCCTCTCAGCCAAGACACGTGTACATAAAGAGGCAACGTTATCGTCAATACAATTTCAGTACAGTAATTGTACAGAGTGGAAACAAAACAAACAAACAAACAACAAAACAAAAACAGGCCGATTTGTAGAGTCACTAACTTTACCTGTTATAGTAAAGGTGTCTGTAAAGTGAATTAGTCACACGTTTACCCAGTGTGTAGTGTGTCATGAGATCTAGAGTTTAAATAGGAAGTCACAGGCAAATACTACATTTGTGTGAGTGCACAACGTATTCTCAGAGAATCCTTCGCAATCAAGATTGTAGAATACCATTTACAAACCTAAACAAACCCTCCTAAACAGTCATTACCCTCTCTGATAGACTGCCCTGCAGTGCATTGTTTGTGCATGAGAGACAAACAGACGGAGAAAGAAAGAGAAAAAAGCAACATCTCCAGCAGAAGAGTGGGCGAGAGGGAGAAAAACAACAAAGAGGATTCTAGTCTGCACAGGTCCACGTTTTCAAAATGCGCAGCTCATTCCCATAATTTACGCGATCCCGCGGTCCTGACATTAGCTATCATGAACAGTATATTTAACTTGCAACATAGGAATCAATCTTTGACCACACATGATTACAATATTCCACAGTGGCCACACAACAATTAGCGGTGCGACGGCACTAATAAAAACACTTAACGGAAACAACAACGGAAACCGCACTCGCAAAAGTTATCATTAGGAGGTAAATAACAGATATCATGCGACAGCCTGGGCAGGTTGTGCGTGCTTGTGTATGAAAGTCAGCCCAAATCAGAGCGTGTGTTTAGGCTTGCTTACAAAACAGAGGTAAAGTCAACGGGCCTATCCCTATTCCTGGAGATGCTGATGGCAGTACTGTAAAATTCCCCCATCTTGGCCTTAAGTTTTATGAGTCTCTCCTTCTTGATTGATATAAGAGCCAGAGAAGGGAGTCGTCCTGCGGCTTTTATGCAAGAGAAAGACCACTGATGCGGTGAAGGCTGGAAGGGTCATCAACATGTTTAGCAGTTTCGGTACCTCTGAAACAGTACGGACAGCAGTTGGGCGGTTTGTCCCTGACGACATGTGAATTATGTAATTAGATGAGGGCAGCCTTTAGTCTGATAAAATTAGAGTCATAGTCAGCCAGGCTATGCAATTTTCCTCAAAGTGGGATGACGGCTTATTAAACTTTTATAGTCTAACAATGGCCGGAATGTCAGGTTCTGCCAAGTTCTTGACTTTTGCTTCTAATTTTACACTGATGTTGTCTAAAAAGTTGTAGAACAGCCTTCGTTTCATCTCGTCTTCGTCTACGTTGCTGCCTGTGCTGATATCAACCGCTTTCATGGCTTTGCACTGCTACTGAAAATATTCATAGAAAGAGTCAAACAACTGTCGCTAGTTGTTCAAATCTCTGACAGTGTCACCAACACAAAAGGAGCAGAATCCTGTTCATCCTGCCCATCCTTGGCCTGGAGAACATGGAACGCTGTCTCTACTCCTGGGAAAATTACAGTGTGAAAAGAAACCAACAGAAGCTTTGAAAATCCAGATATTGAATGAAGGCGCCAGAGTTGGTGCCACTGAATACTTGGCGAAGCCCTGCAACAGGATGGGCAGAACAAGCCTTGAGTTGGAATTCCATGTGCTGCTGCCCGTTCGATACGTCATTTCACAACTTCATCGAGTCAGTTGGCGCATTTTGTAGGTTTGCTGAAAAAAGCACAGCATTCCAGTCTCAGAAAAGGATTTACACTCAGGGATCATCTTGGCAGACCAGAGAGAACAAGGTTTAGTGAGTGAATAAATATTGCTTTTAGGACTTTTTCTCAGATTTTTGGCTACACTCCATGTAGGTGTGATGCCATACCAGATGTGGCATAATATGTTGGTGCTGCCAGCTTGTGTACACGGGTAAACTGGTCGAGTACACCTGAAACGTAGTTAGTAATTGACATGTCTCTCCTGTCATCACCGACATTGTCAAAGCCCAAAAATCTTCATATTCACCTCCATACCAGGTGTACCAAGGAATGTCTGAGAGTTGAACCTTGTTTCAGTGGTTTCTTCCAAATCAACTGCGGTAAACTGCGCCATCTTATTTTATGTCTTCCTCCAGAACATCTGCAATAGCTCTAATTAAGTCATTTTGCATTGTGTTTGCAGTGCCAGAACACACCGGCGATGATGCCAAGTGGGAGGCAAATTTGCCATCCTTGCTGGCTACAGTTCAATGAAATTCCCCATTTCGAGGAACTCTCATTGTTTCCACAGAAGCACACATACAGTGCCCACGTGACTTTTTTCCACATTTCTCTATGTTTCGGTATCTTTTCATGGTGAATGCTAACACCAACAACTGCCATTGTTCAAGCAGGTCGATTCTGTTGTGTCTAAATGATTTCAAAGATTCTGAATGTGACCGCTGACTTTTTTGTGCTTGGCTAAGCCAAAGGGCAATTTCTTCAAGTTGGAGTACGCTGCAGTAGTTCAGACTTGTTTGCAGTGCTGCCGAACAGCAAACAAAGAAAACAGAACAGCATGTTCAGTGTAGCAGATCTACAAAGTTGCTGCATGACACAGTATGTATGCTACTTTAAAGATCCTTAACCCTTTATGGGGCAAGTGATCATATATGGTCACTTCCTTGGACGTTCAATATCTCCACCCTGTGCCTCTCCTTGTGGTTGAACAACCATGTGCACTTTGATTTAGTTTTTATATTAGAGCCAATATCACTACCTTGCAAAATTGTTACTAAACAAATGTTCCAGGCACTTCATAAATGCTTTTTTACTACAATTTCTACAATTTAATTCAGCAGATGCTTTAATCCAAAACGACGTATATCTGAGAGCAGATACAACACTAGTTACTGGTTTGCATTGAACTCCACTTTGATTTATTTTTTGAGATTAGTGCCAACACCACTACCTCAAGAAAAATGTCACTAAATGAACTTGCCAAGCAGTTTTTAAATAACTTGTTACTGGTTGTGTCAGGATCATTAACCATCCATCCATCCATTATCTATACACCACTTAATCCTCACTAGGGTCATGGGGGGCTGGAGTTCATCCCAGCTGACTCAGGGTGAAGGCAGGAGACACCCTGGACAGGTCACCAGTCTATCACAGGGCTACACTTAGAGACAGACAACCAAGCACACTCACATTCACACCTACGGACAATTTAGAATCACCAATTAACCTCAACATGTTTTTGGACTGTAGGAGGAAGCTGGAGAACCCAGAGAGAACCCACGCTGCACGGGGAGAACATGGAGACTCCACGCAGAAAGATCCCGGGTGATCCCATTATCTCAAATTAAAATGTTTCTAAATAAATGTTTTTGCAGTTTGTTACTTTTTCTTTTTTTTTTTATTGTAAATTCCCTTTTTTTTTTTTTTTTTTTTACCATATAACTTATATATATAATCAGGGTTATGTCTGCTTTGTGCTGGCAACGGCTGGACATCATAAGAAAAGAAACAAACCCACTCTGGCTTGTTTGTATTTCTTTAAACCAGTCGCAACCATATGAGGCAGAGTTGAGCCAAGAATGCAGCAACAGTGCCCCACAAATCAGTGACTGGGAAGAACTGTTTTGATGGAACATTTGCACTCAGGGCGGTGAGCAGTGTCATTAAAATGGTTAATTTGCTCACAAAAAACTAGCACGGCTTCTTTACTGCATGACAACAAACCTTGAAATTATCCGTGTGGTTAATTGCTGCCTGGTGGTTGCTGCTTTTGTTCATAAATTGAAGGGGATTTTAAAAACAGACACGTATAAAGGCTGTGGCAGGCTTATACCTGCAATCTACAACTAGTAATTCAGACTACATCAGCATGCACTGCAAAAATGAATGACTTCTGCCGCTTCTGCATGAACAGAAGATAGCAATGCTTCTCACTTCACCCAGTGACAAACAACTTTACACAAAGCTAGCAGGTGGAATATGCCCTGAATTCATGGAGTGTTTGCCTTGTTTATATGATTATGATCATTGTTGTGCATTATTATTACTGAATATTGATCTCTACCATCGCATACAATGAAACAAGAAAAGGTAAGAAAAAGAAAAAACAAAGCAGGCTAACACAACATAAATGTTATTGTAAAAGACTGGTTTTCAGTTGGAGGCATCGTTAACCAAAAAAATCACAAATCATTTCTGCCCACTGAACAATGCTGTACAACGACTCCCTTCTGTGAAAGGAGATGCTGCACATTCAACTATAGGTTGCACTGAGAAAGTTCCATCTAATGCTATTATAAATGTTTTTTTCTAAATCCAATTTGCTTCTGAAACAATGCAGTTCATTGGAGATCATTAAAGTACTGTAACCACCCATGTGTCTACACTGTTGCCCATAAAGTTGGAATAATTCTTGTTTTCAGACACAGTCCTCTTTTTATTTCTATTTATACACATCAGTAACCACTTTTGACCAAGTGCAATGATTCCATACGAGTCCCCGTTACCCAGGTAAAATGAGTCCGACTTCAGGATCTGACTGAAGAGTGGGACATCCTGCCCATTGACACCATCAACAAGCTTGTGGACAGTATGTCTTAACGCACTGATCCATGTCAGGGGTGGCCAGACTCAGTATTAGTGACTGAATGACATTTGAAAGAGTAATATTGAACATTCTAATGCATGGAATCCCCTTGAACATGTGTTTCCTGTTAAATTAACCAAAAAAACTGAAACAAAACCCTTAATCCTATTGCTCAATACCCCCAATTTTGTTTAAGCCTGAATACGCAGTTTGCAAAAGTTCATTGAGGTTTAATTGCTCCTGTGATTTGTATTGTATGTATATTGTGAAACACTTTAGAAAAAAATAAATTGCACGGTCACAACCATTTCCTGAGAAGAGATTTAAAAAACCATTTCCTTCCAACTTTATGGGCAACAGTGTAGATGAAAAATAAGGAAGAAGTTTCTCATGCATGAGTGAATCTATTTAATAGCCTGTTGTGGCTGGGGAAAGTTTTCAATTTTGATCTTTCTTCCTTGGTGGGGGGAGGGGGGGTGATCCCCTGGCAGGTTTGGTCATGTTAACTCCATGGCTCCGGCCCTGCCTCTGCCTCCGAACTCCCGCAGGACGCGCTGTTCTACGCCGGGCTTGCCATCACTTGAACCATGTGCGTCTGGAGCCTCGGGGCGGGTTACCGGGCGTGACTCGACTGCAGCATGTTGCCTTGAGTGCGTTATGGCTTCTACCAGAGTTGCACAAAACCAGCCACATGCCAGTCTGTAAATAGTCTTAATTGAGACCTTTTTTTAAGCTATCACCGCTGACAAACGTTGCGCAAACGTCTCCAGATCTTGCGCAACGGTAGCGCACCAGGACCGCGTTATCAAACAATTACAGAAGAGTGTTTAATAAAGCATTTTTTCTTACTCGGGAGTGTTGATCCAGATGATATCCAAGTGGCAGTAGTATACGCACTCCTTATCCTTGTAGGAATAACAGGTGCAGCGCTTTTGTCTGGACTTTGCGGTTTGAGACAGCTGTGAACTCGCCGAGACAAAATCCTTGGAATCTGTGACATCTCCAGAGCTGATGTCAGATTTGACCAAGGCATGGGACGTCAAGACACCTTCAGAAGTATGTTTTAAAAAATAAAAACTAAGTCAGCAAACAAACAAATCAGCAAGCAAACAAATGATCCAATGAATAAATGCAATAAATAGACATCACACGTACCTTGCAGGAGGATTAGTGTCAGTATTTTGAACAGCATGATTCCTGCGAGGATGCACAGTATGTTTGCCATGTCAGATATTCCCAAAACGAATCATAGCCCGGTAAAGATGCAGATCAATCTCCCACCATCATCGAATAAAAATCCATCAACTTTGGCAGATGTGCAGCTCACATGGTCCAGGCATGAAAAAACGAATCAGATGATATTTTTCCTTCTGTTTCTTTCATGTCCAAGTCAAGAAAAGGAAAAAAAAAAACAATCCTAAACTGGAACTTACACGTTGAAGTGAGAGTAAAACTTTAGGCTCCTTGATGCAAAGAAAAATGTGACCTTGGAAGCAAAGAGAGGAGAGATGATCCCTAAAAAGTCACTTTGCCTTCTAGAAGCCCAAATCAAACACACTGGGCTTTGGAGAGGCTTGGGTACACGCCCACACCTCCCATAACACCCCCTCAGTCAGGAGCAGCAGCGCCTTACCACAGTGTGTGTGTGTGTGTGTGTGTGTGCTCTCACATAAAGAAATCCACATGTGCTCTTGCTGATGCATGACATGTAAAACACAAGCCTTGCACTGTTTAAAGATGGTGAAAGAGAAGCAACAATAAGCAGCATGCCATTAATTGTTGAAAAGTGCACAATCTGTTTGTGATGAGAGGGTTTCCACTGTGATAAAATACAGCCACTAACTTAAAGATACAGGCAGATATAGTATATAAACACACTGGATTCAATCAGACATTTCAAAAGTGTGAAAAAGGCCATTAACCCTATTCAGGACCTCCATGTTGCCATATGTAGAAGGTATTTTGGGTACCACTGGACTCCAAGAAAGAATACGTGCAAAATATTTGTTGGTGTTCATTATAGATTTGTATACTATGTTAAATCAGTTTTCTTCATTTGCTTCCAAATGCATGACAAATGTCCCTCTTTTTATATTAAAAAAATAAATAAAAAAACACCTGTCACCTAAACCAAATGGCTTGAGGTTCAAAAGACCCCAAAAGTCCTGAATAGGGACAAGTAAAGACCTATAAAGGCTATGTTATACAAGAGCGACAGTCTGCCTTGACAATCCAAACCAGGAAAACAAGGGGCGGCACTCCTGTCAGCACCACTATGACCCTGAGGAAATGTTCTTTGAATCAGTTCATGCAACATTTTGCATAATAATTATAACTTATTACTCTTTTTGAAGTTTGTGATGCAAAAGATCTCGAGAAACCTGCCTCAAGGCCACCTCACACAAGGTGCCGCCGCTGCCACATGGGAGCTTTTCAGGCAAGTGTTACGAGTCTACCTGAAGCAAGTGTTTTTATTTATTTAGGTCAAGGAAATTTTGAGTATTTATGCGTTTTGATTGAAGTGTTAGTTATTGTGCTCATTATTTGCATTACTAAGGGGATAGACGGTATATGCCTTTAAAAAGTTGGTTTTATTTGAGATGGTTTTACAAATAGACAAAAAAGATGATAGGCACTAGCACAGAATGTTAATCTGGAAGAAATATTTGTGGCTTGATGAAGTTTTCTCATTGCACATGTTGTTTGCCTGTTGCATTTGGGTTGTTGTTGAGGCAAAGCATAGGAAGACATGATACATACCCACACACCTATATATAATGGTTATACCTATCATCATACATGGGAGGCCCAGACGACTCAATATCTATTAGACAGGTGTATTTCCCTTCGTCATGCCCTCATACACAAATGAGTTACAGCAAAAAGATCTAAAGTCAGAACTGTATTGTCGCTGTCTCTCATAACAAGGAGATAATCGAATAATAAGAGCATATTAACTCTAGATGTGCTGAAATCAAGCGTTTCTTGAAGAAGAGTGAAAGTAAGACTGAATGCAGCTGTTGTGAATCACTCGGTAGTCCGTGGAAACTGGATGACAGGACTGGACCACCTACATGTGCTACATGTCAAGATTCTCCAGAATGTAAGAGGAGATGTGTCAAAACACGCCAACGTAGCCCAGAAGGTCAGGACACAACGCTGGTAGGCCTCAAGAACACGAAGCCCAGTTTGCACTTTGCACCTGCAGAGTTTTGAAACTAACTATAATGAACTGGTGAGATCAAAGATCCACCTGTTCCTATTTGAAGGAAAGTGGAAACTATGGATTTGGGGCACTTAACACCTTCTCTGTTTGACATGGGTGAAGAGCAAATCATGCATTAAATACACAGGCAAAGTAATCACCTGTCTACACAGGAATGTTGTTGACTGATCAAATCACCCAACGTCAACCTCAGCTTCACTAGAGGATGTGTATAGTGATGAATGTTGGTAGTCAGTGACTGAATGTGAACCGAATACAAAATGCCAATCAGTTTCCAGTGAGGACACCTCCCAGCTATGTTCCTGGAACTGAAGTAAATAATAGGTTAAGTGGCCAAATAAATCAATGCATTTATGTAATGCCGAGTGTGTATTTCTATTTTCGTATTCTGAATGGAATTTATGAGCACAACAGCCACATGATGTAATCACGGAAGCTAATGGGAACACCTTTGGTATTTCGAAGGTTTGTGAACTATATTACTGTTCAAACAAAAAATGAGGAAAAGTGCAAAAAAAAGTGGTTGAAGGTCAAAGAATGAAATCATTTTTCCATATTAAAATATTTACAAGAAGAAGTAAATGAGGCAAATCAGTGGGATCGGGCTTGTAGGTGGTGGATGCGGTGCTGGGAGGCGTACAGTTCATGAAGATACTGGATGCTGAAAGAAAAGGCATGACAAACCAAACAAAACCAGGAGACCATAGAGGAGATGATGGATGGAGTCGGCACCTACAGCGATGTCCCAACTGCTGTTATGAAAACAAACTTACCTCACTGAGCCTCCAACTCCAGTTTTCCTCCAGGTTGTGTTGCCTCCTGGGGCAGTTATTACTATCAAATACCAGACAGCCATAAACGTCTGGGATGGAGGAGTAAAGAGGAAACTGCTAACCTGTTCAGATTTTTCTCTTACTGTATTTTGTCTCCATCATTTGTGGAAATAAATATCCAAATGTCAACAAATAGATGAAGGACAAATGCAAATCCCTCCTGCAACTGGTAGTCAAACACTTACATCAAATGCTTCATGGAGCTTTTACTCAAATGTGTTGATTTAACGATGCAAAGTTCACGAGGCAGTAGGTGTGCTAGTTTTGTGTTTCCTACAGAGCCGTCCCATCAACCTAAATCTGTCTAACTCATGACTGCCCTCTGGTTCATTCCCAAATTCCCGAAGGCTAGAAGGTTCTGTGCCATACCCCAGTTCTCTGGCTCCATCCCCAAGCTGGGAAACAGACAGAATTCCAGATAAATTAAGACCATACTCTGTTTTCTTTCTCCTGACCAGAGCCGTGGATGCAGAACATTATCAAAAAACTGACTGTGGGTGGTTTTGCAGTTCTACGACGTGTGCGTGCTTTCAAGGCATCATTTTGGGGGTTTTCTGTGAAGGGCCAGCTTGGTCTGTTGAGTCTGATGCTGCGCCGTGGGTTCACGTGATCATTGCTGCTTATTTACCCGAAACCGGCAGTCAAAACTTTATAAGCATGGTACAGAATCTCCTTGAATACCTTGGTTTGGCGTAGATTGTCAAGGCAATAAAAAAGGATTGAGGGTGTGTAGCCTAGTAGTAGGCCTCATTTAATTAAATCTCATTACGCTGACTTCATTATGCAACACATTTAAGTACTTAAATGGTTTCCCTCGTGTTCGTTAGTGACGCCATTATAAGAATTTACCTCAAATGCACCAAGTTTTCCCAACATAAAATTTCATGACTGACAATTGTGCAGAATCTTTTTTTTTTTTTCCATGTGTTTTTTTCCCCACTTTGACGCAACAAGTTCGACCTATAATTTCACATTCTAACACGTACACCATATGCTCACTTTCTGCCCGTCAAGTGCTGCCCTTTCAGCAGAGGGAATGTCTTTGTAACGCACTCCAGCTTGGACTAGGAGACATAAGGGAATGTAATACATTTCAGGAGGACTCCAGCTACCAGTTTGTCCTGTTATTCTTGGCCTCGTCTTGAGTTTTATCCGAAAACATTTGGTGTGTGCACAGCCTGGGGACTTACACAGTCATTACCCCTGGAGGACTGCGGAGCTTCCCCGGTAGCGAGCGGAGGAACAATAAATAGAGGGCATTAGCATCCCAGATAGCGCAGATATGTAAGCCTGTTAAAATGAATGAGATGAATTAGTGCAACAAAAAAAAAAATCACAGGGAGGAAGTGTGATTATGATGTACATAAAAAAATCATTTTTTTTCAGTATAAACAAAAGCTCTATTAGCTGCTTTTCTTTCCCATTTTACAATAATATCTCTCTATTTCAGATCTACTTACATATTGAAACCATTAACCCTCATAATACCTTCAAATTTACTGACATCTTTCCTTGGGGTCAATTTAACAATTTAAACCTCCAGAAAATTAATTAAAAGTTTTACCCAAGTTTATGTGAAACAGTCCTTTAAATAAAACAGAAAAAAAAATATGTCAACCACTTGTTTAGAAACGCTAAGCATTGAATGGGGTCAAATTGACCCCAAAGATAATAGGAGGATTAAGAAGACACCTTTATGAATGGAAAAGAGAAACAAAAGTCTACCATAAAGACTCAGTGTTCATCAGTAATGTTCACACTCTAATATTTGACCCCATTAGTGGAATATTATATATAATACATGACAAATATAAGTGCTGCCTGGGCACATGTCTTTACTCTTACTTGCCTTTCTTAAACCTCAAACTGTAACATTTTTCTCTCCATTTATAATTGTTCTGACAGATTTACTAGGACCGCAGAAATCTCTATAGGGGAACAGAACATTTAACCAGACAGACCATCCTTCCGAGGTGAAGATGTTCACAGTAAAGTCAGCCAAATTGCTCACAGATGAGAAGCAGCTGATGTCCGGGATCCCACAGATCCCCTGCTTTATAGTATCTTTGTGGAGGAGCTCATGGTGTACCAAGACTGTTGACAGTGATCATCACCCACTGGGAATTATAAGATCTGTGGGATGCTTCACAGCAATAGTGGTATTGAAATGTATGCAAAACCCACACAGTGGTAAAACCAGCATTGTCAAACGAAGCCACTCACAGCATGCCTGTAAAATAAAAATGTAGGTTTAAAATGATGGTTTGAATTGTACAATAAAGTTGGAATTTAATCTCATGTCCATGCAAACGCGGGTTACATGTTTGAAAGAGGCAAACACATCATCCTCAAAAACAATAACCATTCCAAGATACTGGTGATCATGGAGTGTTTTTTTTAAGGTTGCATAAGGATAAAAATATATGTGGTTAACCAAAATTGTGATCATAATACATACAGACTACTAGAGACTGAAAAATAATTCCCTGGAGGAATGACTTGCCAAACCAAGATTGTTGCAAACACAAATGCAGGACATCTGCCTCAAAATAAAAACTTCCAAAGAGGTTGACCTCTGATTGGCATCCATGGTGTAACAGATTTTAAGGGATTTAGTAACTTTTCTTTTTTCAGAGGCTTGTTTTGACAGTTACAAAGAGGAGGGGGAAAGGACTAAACTGTCTTCCATGAAACAAATCAATTTGAATAATTTCTCAGTTAAAAAAAAAAACAAAAAACTCTCTGCACACCATTGTGCTACAATCACATTCCTTTTTATTCCAAGTAGTTATTATTACTCATGTCATAGAGAAATGCTCAAGAGGAGAAGCAATATTTATTGGTATTTGGAAACTAAATTAACACTTGTATATACATGTTTTCTTGTCTGAGGCTTGCCCAAGTTGATGAAGTATAAAAGAAAACTGACGATATCTTACAGGCATCTGTTATGGGTTTGGAATACAAAACCAACATCTCCATTTTATGCCTTTTTTTTTTTTTAAACATTTATCTTTGCTGTTGAAAATCCCTTTATTACAATTCATTGGAGAAAAACACTTCCTCATATCAGATTATGTTTCGTAAAAGCTGTAATTTCATCGTTTATCTGCACGAAAGAAATGTTTTTAGACTGGTTTTGGCTCAGCGAGCAGAGCAGGCGTGAGAGGCCTGGGCCATGTTCTTTACCACTGTGGACACTGGGATAATAAAGTACGGCTGATTGTTTGATTAAAGGTGGGTGGCTGGGGAAAAAAAAAAAAAAAAAGGCCCAGCAATCTGTGAAGAAACAGGGATTTACCCGTTTATTGAACTTTTGACTCAGGAATCTGAGTCGGATTTAAGCCCTACTTCCATTATTGACAACAAGGTGTTAAAAGCAATAAATGTAAATGTTTTTATGAACTGGGCCATAGCGGGGTTTAATCTTAGTAGCAAAGGTTCGAAGATCATGTTTGAGCCAGCAGGTCTCTCCGCTCCAGACAGTTTGTTTTGATAATCCTCCTGTCACCAAGTCCAGTCAACGGATCATTTGTCGGTCCCTCGGGCAGTTTATCAGCGGTGTAGTCTATCCACTGGTGTTGTTTTAAGAAGCAGGCTAATAACTTATCTAAGTATCTACACTGTTGCCCATAAAGTTGGAATACAATATATATTTTATGCCTCTTCTAATGAAATGATTGTGACAATGCAATTTATTCTTCATAGATAAAGTGTACATCTTCTCAAAACTTTATTGATATCACAATATGCATACAATACATATCACAGTAGCAATTAAACCACAATGAACTTTTGAAAATTGTGTATTCAGGCTTAAACAAAATTGGGGGTATTGAACAATAGGATTAAAGGTTTTGTTTCAATTTTTAATCTTAGTCCTTTTAACAGGAAACACATGTTTGAGGGGATTTTATTCATTAGAATGTTCAATATTGCTCTTTCCCAACTGGGACTCAGTATTTAATCATTGCACCTGGTCATGGGGGATTACGGATGTGTATAAATAGATATAAAAAGAGGAATGTGTCTAAAAACAATAAATATTCCAACTTTATGGGCAATAGTCTATCTATCTATCTATCTATCTATCCATCTATCCATCTATCTATCTATCTATCTATCTATCTATCTATCTATCTATCATGTACATCTCTCCTGGGAGACTGATTAAACAGATAAGTTGATAATTTGACATGTTAATTGATTCGACTGAGCAGGGAATACTTTATTTAATGTTGAAAAATGCAATGACCTCTTTTTTTCTTTTTTTTTTTCTTTTTAGAAAAACGGGGGGATCAGAATACATCGGTTTGCGCACCGTCCTACTCACTTGAGGTTTTGGCGCCACCAAGTGGTGATTTGACAGTACCGTTAATGCTTGCTATTACGTGTTAGGACCAAAACAACGAAGCAAAAGCACATAAAAAAAAAATAAAAAAAAAAACATTTACAAAGTGCCAGGTATTTTAGCTTATAAAGGACTTTTATACTTCACAGGTTTGAAAATCGTCCTTTGTAGCTTCTGTACCGTTGTTATTTGTCAGTGGAGGCGGGCTAAATAACAGCTCGCAATGCAATGCGGATCTGTATGATGTTATCGTTGAGTCAGCGCCTCCAAACAATAGATTTATTACAGTGAAATTATGTTATTTTCCACTACATTACTTTTGACAGGTTTCAGATGCTACGGAAAGCGCACTGGGACAATCTTCCTTCAGTCCGTGTGGCGGTTACCATGACGACAGCTGTTGTCAAACACGAAATAGTGCTGCCTGCTAGCTAACTTCGGCTGCTGCTGCTAGCTATTTACACGTAGCACGAACGTAATTTATTCGTAACTACCGCATTTTGCAACTGTTTCATTGTGTCCGCCTCCATGTCTAAGTACAAGGTAAACAGAAAGAAAGCGTAAAAGCGGTTGTCTTGTAGGTTTTCTTTTAACAAGATAAAATGTGATATAGTTTAGCTCGCAAAGTTAGCAAAGTTTTGCTTTATGGCAGTTGTTCATGGTTGTAAAAACTACTACTTAATCAAATAATTAAGTTAATTTTACTGTAATCCCAGTTTGTGTCTCTAATATATTAACTTATTTCAGTATCAAGGTAACTTAATACATGAGATGAATTACATTACAGCTAAGTTGCCTGAAGTAACCTTAGCCAATAAGGAAACCAGAGGAGTTGCTAATGCATGTGTAGTTTACATTAAGGAAGGTGTATGCACATTTTAACTTCATCATTGGGATTAATTTTCTTCCCTCCCCTTCACAGACATCTGGATACAAAGGTTCGTGTGATTATAGCAAAAGTGAAGAGCGGTGGGTGTCGCACTTGAGCTGGCTCTGAATTCTAAGCTATTCAGTTCTGGTAACACTGACTGTGTCACAATGTCTCCTCAGAGAGGGGAGAAGCTGTGTGCGTTACAAATGTGGCCTACTCAACACCATACAAGACGTCCTACGCCAAAGACCAAACTGGGTTGAAGTCAAAGAGTGAGTAGATGTTCTACACAAAGCTGTGCAGTGCAGCGCATTTGTGTCAAACAGAAACATGCATGAACAAACCTCCACAGTAGATACATAGAAGGTGTGTGTTTATCATCACATATTGGCTCGTGTATGGTCTCTTTTCTCCTTCTTGCAGTGACGGAGAATGGGACTTCAACTGGTGTGATGTGGGCTGGCTCAGGGAGAACTTCGGTCATACTTACATGGAGGAACATGTACGAATAAACCACTTTCGCAATCATTATGAGGTAAGGATCCATCAATCTGTCATACTATGAGAATGTAAACTGGAGATTTCAACAGTAATTAATATAGCTCATGTGTTTTTTTCAATCACAGCTGACTCGCAAAAACCTCATGGTAAAAAATCTCAAAAGATACCAGAAAAACCTTGAAAGGGACATGGGCCGCACTGAGGCGTCCAGATGTGATTTTTTCCCCTGCACCTTTGCACTGCCCAGCGAGTATCATCTTTTTGTTGAGGAGTTCAACCGAAGTCCTGGCAGCACCTGGATCATGAAGCCGGTTCGCTGAAATAGACCACAGATGTAACACAGTGCAATAAAAACACTCTCAGTTTATAGATAGCCCGAGGAAGTAAAAATGAATTATCACCACATTGCTCTGATTGGTAACTGGTATGTTTATTCAGGTAGCAAAATCTCAAGGCAAAGGAATTTTCCTGTTCAGGAAACTGAAAGACATTATGGATTGGAAGAAGGTAATTTATTTTATGAAGGGATTTCTTGTAAATGAAACTGCTATAAATAGACATTCTGCGTACCACATAGATGCTCATACCGTGCTTACACAGGATGGCACACGCTCAGAAGAACAGAAGGATGCAGCTCAAGTGGAAAGCTATGTGGCCCAACGCTATATAGAGAACCCTTACCTAATAAATGGTAATGAACTGAGTGAAAAATGCACTTTGATTGTAAATTCTGTTCTGGAAAAAAGTCATTCAGTGAGAAAATAAGAACTGACAAATTGTGAATTGTGACCTGGAGGATCAGTGAGCAAATAATTTGTATCCTTGCTTCATAAAATGTTTTGCTTTTTGTCTCCACAGGCAGGAAGTTTGATCTGAGAGTCTACGTCCTGGTCACATCAGTATGTACTGAGCCTTGTAAAGTCCAATGTTTTATCCAAAATGTAGTTTTTCCTGCATGGTGAAACCAGTGTGTTATCTCGGGTGTTTCAGTATGTTCCCTTGAAGGCCTGGCTGTATCGAGATGGCTTTGCCCGCTTCTCAAGCACTCGCTTTTCCCTCAGCAGCATTGATGACAAGTGTATCCCCTTTTTTGGTAACAGGAAATGTTTTCATCACTCAGTTTGATAAACTGAAGTGACGGTCTAGTTCTTGGTTTTTAGCACAAGCAATTGCCTTAACAAGTTTAGCCTTTGTCTAATGAAATATTTAAGTAAAGTCTGTTTTAAATAGCTCAATATGACCCAATTTCTGAGGCTATTTTTCCTAATTCTGTTGCTACTATTCACATTCCCATTGCAAGGTGTGAGTATGTCATTGGAGTTTCCTTAGTGCATCTTATCAGATATGCACCTCACCAACGTGTCTGTTCAAAAAACAGCACCTGACTATGATCCCGAAAAGGTGTGTAATTCAAAAACAGATAAAAATCATGTTTAATTTATGTTGATTTTCTGAAATGTCTTCATTTTAAGCAACTTGATCATCTCTTGTGTTCCTGTGTTGTTCCATCTATCTCTAAATAGGGATGTAAGTGGCAGATGCAACAGCTTCGAAGATATCTGACTGCAAAACACGGCAGAGAGATGGTAGAAACCCTGTTTAAAGAGATGGATAACATCTTTGTCCGCAGTCTACAGAGTGTACAAAAAGTCATAATAAATGACAAACACTGCTTTGAGCTCTACGGTTACGACATACTGCTGGACCAGAACCTCAAACCGTAAGGGCTCACACACACACACACACACACCCACAGTGCATCATCGCGCAAACATATTCACTCACAAACATGCACTAGGAAGGCCTGCATGCTCACATATAACACATAAAAGCACATGCACAGACAAGCAAACATGCCACTCTGACTTACGTTCTTGGTATCGAGCAGTAAATCTCCTCGTGTTAGCTTTCACAAGTGAGCGCGTATGATTAACCTCGTAAATCTGCGCAGAATATGTGACAAACTGACAGGTACGCAATAATTTTGCTGTAAATAATCACACATAAAGTAATGACAGTGTCTCCGCTCAGCGCAAACACTAGCTATCCTCATTGAGCTGTTTGCTATTCCATCTTTGATTGGACTAATGCCGGCTCAAAGGGCTAAGTCAGTGTTTGCTGAACGTCGTCACCCTCCATCTCCTTGCAGGTGGTTAATTGAGGTGAATGCCTCCCCATCACACACGCCCAGCAGTCAGGAGGATTACGAGATGAAGTGCAGACTGCTGGAAGACACTTTGAATGTTGTAGATATGGAGAGAAGGTAAAGGTCCCTTTCTCATCACGTGCCTGCATTTCCATCACAAGGGAACAAGGCGTGAGGGCTTACTGTCTCTCAATTCATTACAGGCATTAAAATTTGCAGGTATTATGTTTTGAGCACGGATTATGACGTACTTAAAAAGTAAGAACAAGTGCCTTCAAGGACAGCTGTGTCATTGCAGGAATTAACAACATACTACCATCAGATCATAAGAAGAATTCTATGCAGTAGATGATAAAACTATGTTGAAGTCATCGGTCTCTTCCACGCTGGTGCTGCATCCTAATAGACTGTTTTTCTCATTAGGCTGACTGGCAAGGAGAAAAGGGTTGGGGGCTATGATCTCATGTGGAACGACGGGCCTGTCTATAGAGAGGATGTAAACCTGCAAACATCTGGCAGTTCATGTTTCACTGCCAACACACACTTAGGTAACCTAACTGTGCTGTTAATGCAAACGTCTTGAGGCAACAGCAGCCAAAAAAAATTCAAGTCTGATAATGGTGCAAAAGTATAAATGCAAGTCGGAGAATTGTATTTGATCAGGTGGTCACGTGAAACACCCTGTGTAATTCTATTATTCCTAATCACTGCAAATGTGCTCCTGCTCTTCGTTGCAGGGTGTGTAAACGACAGAGAGAAGCAGCTTCGCCAGCTTCTGAAACCATTTCCATACCAGAAGAAGATGTAATCGCATGCAGAATTTCTGTCCCGTTTTCATAGTACCATGGTCTGCAAGACTTTGGCATCATCCCGGTGACTGTCTGGGAGTAGACTGGCTACAGTTACTTCAAATACCTGGGGGGAAAAAAAAAACAAACATAAAATGAGTTAGCTGTGATGATCTCATCAGAATCCAACCTTGGTTAAAATCTAAATATACAAAAGAAGATTTTTTTGCACATGAATGCACTAATAAGCATGAGTTATTGACCAACTGGTTCTACATTTGTATGTATAGATTTCAACAGCATGTCAGATAGTTGTGAGCTGTGTGTAAATGTTTTTTCAGGTGCTCCAAAGAAAAACCAAAAGACAACTGCTCCTTGTGTGCAAAACATTTATTTCTATGCCTTGCAAACACTTGCATTCAACATTGAGAAAATACATATCACAATCTTTCTGCGTGCATGTCAATGTAATGTACACATATATAATAACATTGCCACTCCTGGCCCCTTATCTATGGCTTTGATACTTTACATGGATATTAAGTGAAGAGGTGCAATCAGAATACTTATCACATCTACATTGATGTAGTGTTCCCATGAATCAAATGCACACGGGACACCACAAGAAACAGATAAAACACTCAAATGTAAACACAGTGTTCTAAAAACGTCAAGTATGCAGTGGAATAAGGAGGTGATATGTATAACATTACCATGTTACAGCCTAACAGCTATGATGTTTTGAAACCCCACTGCATCCTGGGAATGACAGCACAGCAGACATAAGTACATTCAGCTCTACAGATTTTTTTTCTTTTTGTGCGCGACAATGTAAACAAAACAATGACAATGATGAATACAAGTCAACCACAACACTTCTCATAAATATAACTATGGTATATAAAATTTGGAAAAATATGCATTTACATTCGTAGCAAACATTACACCGTCTTCAATGATAGGAAGAGCTCAGCTCTATGCAAAATACAGTATATTATCGTAGACTACAATTCAAGCTGTTCAAACATGAAAAGCCCTTGTAACCAAAAATGTAAAACCATAGCACAAATATATGTGGAACCTGTTACTGTGCCTCCTTCTTTGCAGATCCTTTAACTTAACATGTGGTTTAAAACATGAGGCACTAAAGAAATCATAAAAAGCAACATCAAGTAAAGTAAGAGCATTGAAAACAAATACATTCCAACATCAAAAATTGCACTATTATCTGCTATGGTTGTATTTCATGACTAAAATGGAATGACTTGTGTTAAACTTCACTATGGATTACTTATTCTGAAAACTGTCCAGTGGCAGAGTAGATGCTTATTTTATTCCTATTTTACCATTAGTAGGATACTGAGAGATGACTGCAGAGTGCAATAGAGTTTAGTTTACATAAAAGCTGTGTTTTAGAGTCCTAGCAGGGTTCAGGGTTATGATGAGCATTCTGTCAAAACACAGTCCAGCATTAAGACTACAACTGTACATGTGGAATGAAATGCAGAGTACGGTTCTGTTCTAGTTAAGTGTAACGTTATTCTTTATCTGTATTCTAGCTGCTCGATCGCTCGTAGTTGACCTTTTAAAGGCTGTACACCACTGACTGATTTAGACTGCTGTACAACAGTTAGGACATGTTAGTATTACACAGATTACACAGAAAGCAAGCATAGGTTCAAGCTCCTGTACCAGATAGCCACTAAGTAAAGCACTATATTGCAGGGCTATAAGGGTTACTTTGCAACAAAGTGCACATTTTTTGTTTTGCCATTCTGCTTACTGCTCAGCGGGGCTTTGGAGAGAGACGACGGCTCTTTAGCAGCTCTTTTCATGGCAGTTTTCGAGGCCTGACCCGCTGCCTCTGTCCTCTGCCAGTCCTTCTCCTCTCGCTTCGAGGTGATGATGTCCCTCTTACTGGCAGCGAACACACGCTTCTCTGCGCCGGTTGCTTTGGTGCCACCAGGCTCCTTTTTAACATCTGTCTCAGAGTTAGCTCTGACGCGGCTCTTCCTCACCGGACCTTTGCTGTTTGGATTAGTGCCAGATTCCTGGGCTTGCTTACGGGCGTTGCCTGCGGCCTGCATGTGCCTGAGATGACTCTTTCCAGCTGAGGGGCTGACTGGGGTCTGGGCGCCTCCTCCACTTCCACCCTGTGCCCCTGGGCTCCTGCCCTCTGTGGAGGTTGCTCGGGTCTCACTGCTGCTCCTCTTTGCCGGCGCCCCGGGTCGGGCTCTGCGCTCCAGCAGCGGGCTGAGGCGGGAGTGGCGTTGGTAGGCGTAGGCAGAGCAGCTTCCGTTGCACAGAGGGTAGCGAATGTGACAGTGAGGACAAACGGGGAAGCGGGAGAGCTGGTGCTGGGTCGAGGCGGGAGACGGGGGGTTGTTGACGGGTGCAAACGGGAAGGCTCGCTGGCTGTGTCGCAGGCCTTTAGGGGAGTTGAGTCGGGATGATGGAGCTGTGTGAGGCCTGGGCTGATGGGCAACTGTGGCAGAGGGAAAACCCTGGGGCCTCGGGCGGCTACCAGGTGGTCGGCTGCTCTCTGCTTGCACAGTTTGGATCTGAAGCCACTCCAGCTGCAGCAGCCTCTCCAGGTACTTCTCTAAAGGCCCTACGGGCTTGGGCCGGGGGGCACCACGACCCTCTGTGTGAAGAAACACCGCCAGCTGCCTCAGACTCCAGCTGTTGAAGGGAGGAGGCAGGAAATCTGGGTAACTGTAGCTGGGTTTTTCACTCTCTACTTCATCGCCCGCCGCCCCGTGGGGTCCTGGGATGTCTGGGGGAAAGTCAAGAGTGTTGATGACTTCGGCCCGGAGGTTGAGGTGAGGAGGGGTGCAGGGGGTGCACGGGGAGGGCAGCACAGGCAGCCTCTCGGAGTCAGACAGATCACTGGCGCTGTCAGTGTCCTCTTCCTTGTGGTTGTGGTGCTGCTGCAGCGCATCTGGGGTGGGGGCCGGGGAGTGCATCAGGGGGTGAGCTGGCATGTGTCGTAGCCCCGATATCGGGGAGAGAGGCAGGGACAGGGCTCGCCGATTTTTCCCCATCCCCCCGCGGTTTTGGTGGAGCTCGCCGCTGCACTGGGGCACCCGGAGATTTTCTCGCTTCTCCTCCTTCCTGTGCACGGATGAGTGTTTGCGGAGTTGAGGTCTCAAATCTCCTTCCTCGTCTTCAGGGCTATAATAAGACAAGATGAGTTTAAGGAAAAGCTGTTTGGGGATTTAGGGATTTACTGTACCTGAAGCAAAGCGTTCAGAAAGAATGCAAACCCCTCTCCACTCTTACCTGGAGGCTTTGCTTGTGTTCCGTGCAGCGCCAGACTTGACCCTGCCACCTTTGGATTGTGCACCCTGAAAAACAATCATTGTGGGGTTTGTTTGGTTACACAACACATGCAGCAACACTATCATCCATTCAAACAGATCCTCTGGAGGATCAATGATAAAAAATCGATCCCTCTTTAATTCAACAGGATGTCATCCACATACCCTATACATCGTTGTCATCGTGTCCTTATCCTGACCTGGTCCTGGGAGGCCATTTTTCATTTGGCTCACTGCTTTCTTCGTCTTGTTACCTTTCTTTGAACTGTGGAAACATGATAGAGGTATGTGATGCTCGCCTCTAAACCTGTCTGCTGCAGAACATAAGAGGCTCAAATTTGCCTTTAAGGTATCACTGCAAAAAAATAAAAATAAAAAATAAAAATTGAGGCCTACCTGGTTACTGGCCCGCTGTTTTCTGTATTTTTTACCCGAATCTTCTCTTTGGAAACGACGCGTTTGAGCGTCGTGGATGCGGTGCGTTCCTGCATGATGGGCCCCATGTTGCACCAGAGGGGATGTTGTTCGGAGTCCAGCACAGTTATTAGATCATGCAGTAGCTAAAGAACCCAGCCGACATCTCGGATCAGATACTCTATTCTGAGAATGAGGCTAAAAACACCCATTTTCTCCAAAGTGCTGCAATGCATCATGCGCAGATGTCTCTCTCCACTGCAGGTTATACGCGTCCGTCTGTTTTTGTCGTCGACCTGCGTTTCGCTGTTCAGTAACGAATTGCGTTTGCTTCTTTTTTTCCTCCTTTTTTTTAACGAGCTGCTCACAGCGGACGCGTCTCTTTTTCGACTGTCATCTTTCTCGCCATTACTAATGCGAAACGGTGCAACAGCGCGGACGCTTTGTTTGGCTCGCCGTCCCAGTCAGATAGGTTTGTTTACCTGCTGCTGACTGGCTCACCGCTGGTGTCGGAGTGGGAATCACAGGTGCATCATGGGACTTGTAGTACAGGCGCGCTAGTGGCTCTTTAAAACTATTCGAAACCCAAAAGAAGAGAGTGCTTAGTGATGAAAAAACAACGCAGAACAGAAGTAGAAAAACGGCCAACAACGCATGTGAAGAAAGGAGAAAAACAGAGCGTGAATAAATATAAAAATCCCTCTTACGTTACTCCATCACCCATGCGCCGTCAGTGGTTTCTGCTCCGTATGTAGTTTCCTGTTAACTGCGCGCATGTTAGCTGATCTCCATCGACTTCACGCCACAGACATGTATGTGTGTTGGAGCAGCTGTGAAGGTGGAACGTAGTCACACATCAGGGCTCCACGACTGCAGCCAACCGACTTGGTGACGCACGGGAACGCGCAGCTTCCAATAAACACATGGTTTAAATCATGGAGGATCGAGCTTAAGCTGCATCCAGCAGGTTTAAATGTAACGAACGCTTCACATCTGTATATGGTGAGGTGATGTCAGAGTCTCATTTGTATTTACTGAGCCACATTAAGGGCATTTTCAATACTGCCGCAGTTGTTCAGACTGAGAAGTAGACTGTATGCGTTCAGGCACGTACTCCAGAGTACACGCCCACTCTTTCTTGCTGTGGCTATATGTGTCTTGCAAACAGCAAAGTTGCTGTTTTGAGAAAAGTTGCAGGTCAAAATCATGTATTTTTGGTAAAAATGAACGCAATGATATTCCAGCTATGTCATTTTGCTTTTGATTGGAGTGAATTTGGAGGATAAACGTGGCTTTCTAACGCATTTTTTCTGTGCAACTTTCTTTGCAGGTGATCAGCACTGCTTCTTCGTAACAATGGAGAGAGGTTGGTTTATTGGACATGAGAGGATTCCCAGCATGCCCTCAAGGCCCTGCATGACGATCAACTTAACCGAAATGCTTCGAGCTGACAAGCCAAATGTGGAAAAGAAGTCAGTTCCAATCCGCCCGCCAAGCCCCAGAGTGTCCAAGCCAAGAGAACAAGCGCTTCGCCGCAGCCCCTCCTGCGAACCCACACCTAAACCCATCATCAGACAACGGTCACACTCTCTACCTTCTGCCACGGCCAAGAGAACGCAGTGCAGGAATGTTGGCGTTCGGTTTGCTGACTCTTTGGGACTGGACCTGGAGGACGTCAGGCTTTTTAAATCAGGAGACAATCCATTTGTGCCACATCACGTTACCTTCAGGTTGTTGATGGGTTCTGAGATAGCAGATGGGAAACATCTGGAGATTTCCTTGCCATACATGCAGCCAGTTTTTGCCCAACAACCGGGTGACCAGCCAGGATTTTTGCATCGTCTCCATGAGCAGAAAGTGTGCCTGGAGAGAATCTCGTGTTTTGAATTTGGGGTCATGGGAATCACCCAAGTCCTCAACTTGGACTTTGAGAAAGATGTCACAGCTCGTTATTCGTTCACAGAGTGGAAGAGCTGCACAGAAACCAAGGCCTCTTGGGTGTCCACCATCACCACGACCTGGGAGGGAGGAGGGGGGCAGTTTAGTTACGATTCATTTCGTTTCCATCTGCCTGTCCCTCCGTTCCTGCAGCCAGGTGCCGTGTTGGAGTTTGCCATTCGATACAGAGTCTGTGGGGCTGAATACTGGGACAACAATGATGGACAGAATTATAAGTTAGTTTGCCAAAACTATAAACTCACTGTGCCTAAAGAATGTGAGGATAGCATGGTGCACTTCATTTAGGATGCAGAAAAAATCTATTTCGAGCACTTTATGAGAGCTGGCAGAGAAACCTATAAAAATACCTGCACAGTAACATAATGTTCATTTTCTTCATAGTGCTAACTGAGTTGGAATGAAGTTAGACGCACGGCAAACTAGACGGACATGGAGGGAAATTAACAAGCACGATTGCACTTATACCTGAAGCCAGCTTTACTGTCACTCTGATGTTTTTGTTTTAAAAAATTGCACTGAATTATTAGATTTTCCTCGTTATTAAAAATGCACTTTAGTATAGCACATCCAGTAGAAGTGACACCCACTGAGAATTACACAAGTATTCTGTGAAACTGAAATGAATGCACATCAGCCCGCTGTTTTCTTCCAGCTGGATCTTTGACAAAAAACTCATTTTATACAAAGCAGGGATTTGGTCTGTTGTACCATTCATTTTCAAATGTTGTCAAACCAAATGCCCAAAGCATGTAATGGATACAGTTTGAGTATCTTGAAATAAATCAGAAATGAAGGATTATTTTGTTAATACATTTTGATAAACAACACTTTGCTGTGGTGTAATTAAGGACTGAACAATTTATCAAAATGCCAATATGGTCAAGTGCAATATCCAAATTACAAATCCAAAGAGCTGCAGTTTTTGATAAAGATAAACTGTGTCACAACATATCATTATAAATTAAGCCTCGTGGTGCTACAGAGATGCCCCGGCATACAATTCATATTCTGCAGACATAAATGAATCTGGTTGATTGGTGCTGGCCTCAGCAAAAATCACATCATCATTTTTTTTCCCTATTTGAGGCAAGAAAAAAAAAGCCATATATTGTGACTCATATCAAAATCACCATATCTGCCAAAGTAGTTATTTTATTTTTTGGCATTTTGTTCAGCCCTACTTATATTTGCATTGAAAGCTCAAGTCCTACACCCTCTAGCTGTCTTTAGCGAGTTTCTGTATTATTTCTCGCTTAGCTTTCATTTGTCAGCCTTCCTGAAATAAAATTCTGTTTCAGATGTTGTAATGACAGAATATTCCCATGCAGATATTTTGTCTACGATTTCAGCTGTATTTGAATAAATGACTGCACACTAAAGGAAAAAGTTGAATACAAACACAAGAGCTTGTCCAGAAATATTTTTTTTTCCTGTCCAAGAAACTTGACCCCTCACAACTGTATTTAAACAGGTCAAAACCACAGACTGCTTATAAAGAGTTCCAGACCACAGATTGTATACAAAGAGGTTTAGAACCACAGA